TTTCCAGCTCCGGGCAAAACCATCAACATCAAGACTTTCCTGCCTGGGTCAGGCACCGAGGTGAGCACCATTAAACCGACCAATAAGGGAGAAACTGGACCTCTGAGTCCATCTTTTTCTCTTCCTCTCACTCAGAGGGACACTACTAACCATCCTTCATTCATTGAACTTCATTCAACTGAAAATATGTCTCATTTTCTAGGTTCTTTAACCCTTTAAAGCCTGATCCAAGAATAAAACAAAACTGAAAATTACTTTTTTTTGGTTTGAATTCCTTATTTGGCCTTTTAACAAAATATGTAAAAAGAAAAAACAGAAATACATTTTTAATATTGATAATTTATTACTATGTGATAAGTCAAGATTATTTGTTGTGTAGTCTTCTGTTATCAGGTGTATCTGATTGTGTAAAATTTTGAGCAAAGTTTTTACCATTAAATTATGCAAAAGGTGTCAGACGCAAAACATTTCAGAAACCGTATGCATCAAATATGACACATTTGGCATTACGGGGTTAAACCAGCTCTAATTAATGAAGCTCCTTTTTCTTTTCCAGTAATTTTTCTAATCAGCTTCGTCCTTATATCAACATGAATTAAATTCAGAAAAAGAGTAAAAAGATGCAAAGATCAATAAATTTGCTGCTGCATTTTCTGCTTATTTCTGTTTAAACAATTTAATTTAAGGATCCATCCTAAATTTTCATATAACTTGCATTTCTAAGTATTCAAAATCCAGGAAAATGTTATTGTTTTTAGTGGCATTCCTTAATAATCCCTTTTTATTCCCAGTTTCCTGATCAAACGCCAATAAAAGCTGATGAAGTTCGAGGTTTTTTAACATCCCTCTGAGAGTCGTAGACTGAAAAGAAAAAAAGTTCCTTCCTGCCTCTGGCCTGACGGGTGTTTTTATGACGGGTTCTAACCTCGTCGTATTACGTCTTCTTCTCCTTTTCCAGGTGATGGAGCTCTGCCGGCCCCCGGACTCCCGCCTGGAGCACGTGGACTTCTCCTGCCTGTTCTCCTGCCTGAGCCTGAGGCTGCTGCTGCGGGTGTTCGGCTCCCTGCTGCTGGAGAGACGGGTCATTTTCATAGCAGACAAGCTCAGGTTAGACCCCCTTCCTCCTCCTCTTCCTCCCCCTTTCCTCCCACCTCTTCCTCCCCATTCCCACTGAGGAGGCTAAGGGATGTGGGATAAAGGCTCAGCTCAGGATTCTGACTCTGGAATAATGAATAACAGTATTTAAGTGCTGTTGATTGCTAATGCATTTGTAGTTTTCTGTTTTTTTAAACACCTGGATGGCCTTTCACACGTTTGAAATAATATAAACAATATCTATCAAACTTTTGACTGCCTTTTTTTTTAACATACACAGTACTTGTACTTTTTACTTATACTTTTGATAATTGAGTAGCAATTTTTTGAAATACTTCTACTTGCAATACTTAAGTACAAAAAAATGGAGTACTTCCGTACTTCCACTTAAGTGTCGAGTTGAAAGAACACTTTTACTTTTACTCAAGTCAATTTTTTTATATAGTACTTGTACTTCTACTCC